AAAAAAAGATTCTACAAATAAAAACTGGAGGTTTTTTTCCTTTTGCAAAAATATCTATCAAGTAACTTTTCATGAAATGGAGTCCGATGTTCACCAGAACAGCACAGAAGCTGTTCTGTCTGTAGAGACAGCAGGTGCTTGTGGGTCGCTCCCAATTGTCACGTTTTGCAGGGGTCCTGCAGATCTGTTCCCGTGGGGTGGTACACCCACGAAAGGTCAGGGAGGTGGAGGTTTTTTTCCTTTTGCAAAAATATCTATCAAGTAACTTTTCATGAAATGGAGTCCGATGTTCACCAGAACAGCACAGAAGCTGTTCTGTCTGTAGAGACAGCAGGTGCTTGTGGGTCGCTCCCAATTGTCACGTTTTGCAGGGGTCCTGCAGATCTGTTCCCGTGGGGTGGTACACCCACGAAAGGTCAGGGAGGTGCAGGGGCCCCTGGAAGGGTGCTAACTGGGAGCAGGTGGTTGTTGGTAGAGAACAGACACCTGGAAGAAAGCAGCAGAAGGGTGGGATGTGATGAATGTCTGGAGAAGGCGGACATCGACATGTGTTGGATTAACATTGCTATGGAAATCTTAGCTACAAACAGCTCAATATAGAGGCCAGCATTGGGTGGGGAATGAGCGTTCAAGGACTGCATGAGAATTTTAGCTCTTACCATGGTGCTGGGTCCTAAGATGGGCAGGAAAGAGAATAGTTGAAATTGCTGAGAAGCTCAGAATAAAAAGCAAAATACCAGTTTGTATTTACATAAACTGTCCGTGCAGTGAACGGTTTCCCATTTCCTGCTATGTCTTAAGGTCATCATTTTGTAGCAAAATCTATACTATTTTTTCCTGTACTTCAGGTTGTCCGATGCACATGAAGATGCCTGATCGTAGAACTGAGAACACAGATGATGTTCCTGCACATCAGGAAAGGGCGTATGAATTTGTAGCATGTCCGGTGAAGTCTGGTGCATCTCAAGTGAAAGACGACATAGATCCTAGCAACATGGTAACTTTCACTTAGTTCAGATGTTTTCTTCGGTCTGGTTTCTCCTGAAACACTGTCCCAAAAATGTAAATAGTGGTACTGTCTAAGGTGGAAACTCTGGCAATTAATGTTATTTTTGAATTTTTAACACTGCTTTTTCTCATTTTGTGTGCAAATATTTGCATAAAACCATGTTACATCTTATTTATCAAATTTACATCTTCTTAGTAAAAGGTGTTTTTTTCCAGTTTGTAAATCTCTTTTGCTGTCTGTTTCTATTTGTTAGGTACACACATGGTTTTTATGCATCAGTGGTTTCTAGGTTCTGTGTAATAGCGCTGTGGTTAAGTTCTGATTCAGATCTCCAAGATTTCGTCTCATTTACAAAAAGCACTGCCGTTTTTGAAAGTAAGGTTTGGGCAAAAGGGATGTTAGTCTTCAGATGACAAAGTTGTGCAAAGAGTTCTACTGCAAAAGAGAAGGATAATTTTAGTGGACTTATGTAGAGGCTGAACTTCTCGATCTTTGTAGCAGCTAATGAAGTATGCTTTGATTTTTTCAAACACTGTATCATAAAAATAATTCCTGATCTAGTTTGTTGTTGGTTCTCCTTGTTTTCTAGATGCCTCCTCCTAATCAGCAGCCATCCCCAGATCAACCATTTCCATTGTCAACTGTTAGAGAAGAATCTTCCATTCCTAGAGCACATTCTGAGAAGAAATGGGTCTACCCTTCAGAGCAAATGTTCTGGAACGCTATGCTAAGAAAAGGGTAAATACACTGTGAATGATCGGATGGGAGTCTGAGTCTGAAAATCATGAAGTAATATCATTAGTTATTATTCATTCATGTTATTTAAGAGTTTATGAACTCTAAGCAGTAAATAATTAACTAGCTCTTTTAAAAATTACTGGTTTTATGAACAGCTTTGTTTTAAAGGGTGAGCTGGTCTCAAAGGCCCTATTGCTTCTAGTAGTCAGCAAGATGGTAGGGAATGGCAGGCAACTGCTGCTAGCTCAGAAAATTTTCGTAGAAGTCAGTGCATAGGCATAGACAAACTTTGCATGATTGCCAGCTTTCAAACTCAGTTGGCTTCATGGTAATCCTATAAACTGATAGTAAAAGTTCTGTGTGAGAACATCTAACTTTACAGACAAGTAGATGTTTTCATTTACAAAAATTCAGCGTAGGCAAGGTCTAACTGAAGGATAGATGTCTTCTGTGGCCTAAAAAACTTTCTGTGCTGGTGTTTTCTTGTTCTTTTGTAATTATTTGTTTGTTGTTTCCAAACAGATAAACTTTAAAGGTGGTTACTATTTAAACAACAGTAGTTCTTTGTTCTGTGTATCGATATCAATATTGTTCTGAAGGCGCTATGTTACAAGCAGTCTATATTGAACATGCAGGTGGATGTGGACATGGTCCTGTGCAGCCTGCTCTAGGTGAACCTGCTTTAGCAGGGGGGGTTGGACTAGATGATCCCAGAGGTCTCTTCCAACCCCTAACATTCCGTGATTCTGTTTTGATCCTGTGAACAGTTAAATGTGTTCAGTGTTATGCCTGTTGGAAAGGAAGCATGGGTGTAGTTATAGTGCAGAGTGAGAGAGTTGACAGGAAGTTCCAAGTGTATGCAAAATGTATTGAATACAGGACTTCTGTGCATTAGGAATGCAAGTGGGATTTTTCCTAAACATTTTTACCAATAACATGGATTTGTTGATGTTTACAGTCTGGTAACTTTCTGATCTAGTTAAGCTGTTAATTTCGCTAACTAGAATTCATGGATCTCTATGATGATAACCTTTGATAACCACAGTTTTACACAGAAAATTGAGTGGTTCTCAAGATGCTTAAGCAGATGAGCCAGAAGTTTCCATACTTGCTTTGTGTCTTTGCATAAAACCTTAAGTCTCTTGATTCAAAAGCCCACCAGGTAAACTGAGAAAGATGGAGTAGTTATACCGTAATGCTTATAAACTTACCAAATTCTTGGGTTTTAGGTGGAGGTGGAAAGATGATGACATAACAAGTGAAGACATGACCAACATCATTAAGATTCACAACCAAAATAACGAGCAAGCTTGGAAGGAGATTTTGAAGTGGGAAGCTCTTCATGCTGTGTACGTACAAGTGAAATGAAAAGCAAATCTTTTGGTTTAGCTCTTGCTTTTGTAATTCTTGGAAAGTAGAACGTCTCTTTAGTTTTTGCAGAAATATTCTGGTGCTGATACGCCCCAAAAGTTAGTCTTGTAGGAGCTTGCATTTTGATTAATATGGAGGAAGATTATCCAGAAGAGCTTAACTAGAACTGAATAATTACTATGTTGATAAAACTGATGAGCATTTTGGTGGTGTGTGTATAATGCAGACTTGGAGAAATTGACTTCTTATTGTGTCTATTTGGGAAGTATTTAACAGAAATCTTTATGTTACAAAAAGGATAGGAGATGTAAACTTAGATTAGAAGTGACTGATATGAAACAAACTCTTTTTAGGTCAATATAGTCCCTGGTCTTAGAAGAGACAGAATAGTTAAGCATTCTGTATGTAGAAATTGTTCTCTGAAATTCCATGACCTTTGTTACACAGTAGTTTGCATTATGGTTTTCTGTTCTTTGATGGTTTTCTGTTCTTTAATCCATTAAATCTGTGGATTAGATTTGCTGAGAACTGCTCTGTTGATAAATTAGAACAACAGTGTGGAGCATATCAAAAGGTACTTTGTCATACCAGCAGTAAGCGCTGTCAGAAATCGGGGGACTTTTCAAACCTCAAAGAAAAAAAAAAAACCAGCTGGTTTAGATCACTTGTAATTAATTTTTTACTGTTGCTCTTTCTCCTATTCCTGTTTTTTTTTCTTTTTTTTTCTTTTTTTTTGTTTAGTTTTTTTTGTTTTTTTTTTTCTTTTCTGTTACTGAAACAAGTTACCATAGTGGTTTAAACACTGAAAATAAGGCTGTTTTAAAAGGTTAAAGCTATTTTATTTTTTAATTGTGCGCACAGGGAATGTCCGTGTGGACCATCACTGATGCGGTTTGGAGGCAAAGCAAAGGAGTATTCACCAAGAGCGAGAATACGTTCGTGGATGGGGTACGTGGGCAGGAAAGAAGGTCTTCCAGTGAGGTGGGAGGGTAGGGTGATGTGTCCAAAAACATGGTGTAGAATTAATTTAAAAATGTTTCAGAACTGGAATTACAAGTTATAATTTTGAGAAAATATAAGTACTGGTGGGGATCTTATGCCAGTATCTGGATAAATAAATCTTAAATAGGACTTTTACTCCCTCTCCCAGGTTAATAATATCCATTAAAATATCTTCATGGTCTATTATCTGTCTTTCCAGATATGAACTTCCCTTTGACAGACATGATTGGATTGTTGACCGATGTGGAAAAGAAGTGCGATATGTAATTGATTACTATGATGGTGGGGCAGTAGATAAGAACTACCAGTTCACTATCCTGGATGTTCGCCCTGCATTTGACTCTCTCTCGGCTGTGTGGGACAGAATGAAGGTAGCTTGGTGGCGGTGGACTTCATAGCTACTCCTGTGGTGTGTATTCGAGAAGTAAATCACTTTCCTCCTAGACTAAGGATAAGTGAATACTAGGACTTGAAATAGAAGTTGACTGCAACGCTCATTATTTTCATCATCACCACTGTTCTTTGGGGGTTGGAAGGAAGAATGGGGACATCCATTGTGAAGTACACCAATGCTTTATGGTGTTTTGAATTAAATAATAAAGTTACAGTACAAAAACACGTATCTTAATTTTCTTAAGAGCTGGGAAGTGTTTTCTTACTTTGTCACAGATTCTGTGTAAGCTTGTCGTCTTTTCATTTCATGACTCCAGAGCCACACCTAATATATTAGGTTTCTGATTCTGGCAGGAGTTTTGAGTATTACTTAAATAGTGAAAACTGGAAATTTCAAAACGGTTTCATATAGTTACAATGTTTGGATACTTGGGTGATGAATCTGGACTGTTTAAAACTGCATGTTTTATTAACTATATAAACCCATGTATTTTGTTTTCACGTGGTACTTTACCTGTTCAAATACATGCTTCCTCAGAAAACTTTAGTCAAGTTTACGCTGTCAAAGGAAGTATAGCATAGTGTGAATATTTTTAAAGGTGTGTTAAGTTGAAAATAAGGAGAATAAACTCATGCCTTACTCCACAGTTTATGTTTGAATAGAAGAACCTGTGTTAGAAGCAGGAAATGAGTGTCAGTTAGTTTTAAAACAAGATTTAAAACAACATGATATTTAATGGCTATTTATTGGAGTATTTAAAAGATTTGGTTTCTGATGTAAGAAATCTGTATTCTTTTAGTATTTTGATGTCTTTAACATGTGTCATGTATTGCATTCGGGACAGAATTAAGCCTTATTTAAAGAAATTGTCATGCAGTGCACCTGTATTTTGCATCTTGGCTTAATCAACTGTGCTGTAGCAGTCTTTTTTATGATATAGAATCGCACAAGGGTGTACAACTGCACAGTCATACTTGTTTCTGCATAGCGATTATAGTGAGGCATGTTACAGATGTGTAGATAACTTGGCTAAAAGGGTATCAAAAGTGCCAAGAAATAAGTTTGATTTGAGCATTTTCTAAGAGGGATGCATGTTAATGCTGTGTGGCTTAAAGATTTGATTGATGTTTGTGCTTAATAAGGGAAACTAACTTTTTTTTTAAGTCTTCCACTGTAATAGCTTTAAATTTGCATGGCTTGGTAAAGTTCAGGTGCTGCATACCTCTAAATTTAAATTATTCCTCCCTTTCAGCATATATTGCTCTTGAGAGTGAGTCCTCCATGCAAAACACTTGGGAATGGAAGGAATAAGAGAGTGCCACATTGTAGCTTCTCAAATGGGAGAAGCTTCCTTTGTGAAACTTCATAACCTCACTGGGAGCCAGCTGTACCTTCGTTTTTGAAAGTGGTTATTTTTAACTGACTTTGGAAGCTTTTTTTTTCTTTTTTTTTTTCTTTTTTTTTTCTTTTTTCTCCCCCTCCTCGAGAGGAATGCCCCTTAATGTTTCAGTCAAGTAACTTAGCGTTTAGGAAAAAATTATTCAGGGCAGCTTCCATACTTTAAAATACTAATGGAGATCAGTGGTTCCCACCTCAGAGGCAACTGTCCTGGCTAGTAAGAATAAATACTAGAAGTCCAGAATCCTAAGAGAAAACCACGCTCTTATCCCTATCCACTTTCCTCATTCCTTTTTCACCTTTTTAGTGATACATGTCTATATAAACTAAAAAAATAGTTTGGGGCAAAAAAAAAAAAATCTCCATCTGAGTAAGCAATGTGTATACGAGATATGAGAAGTGCGTGAGCTTGTACGAAGCATATCTGGTAACGAAAGAGCTGCTCCTCTCTGTCGTAGCAGTAAAGACTGGGGCTTACCGCTTTCTGGGACGTGGTGGTTTTTTGTTGGTTGATGTATACATTTGGTAACTTGATACATGCAGAATTCTGTATTTCTCACAGCTAAGTGTGGAAAAGGTACACCAATGTAGGGAGTGCTTCAGAAGCTTCAAAAGAATGAATTTGCTTTGTTGATTTTGGAAGTGTGATGTTGAGTGCGTTATGGAAATTGTAATTGCTGCTAAATCTGGTGAAAGGTGTCACATGCCACTTCATGCATTCACCGGCTCCTGTTATGTTCGGTCTGATGGATTCAAAATTGTTCTTTTCTGTGCTACTGTTAACAAAATGTGCTACTTTATCATCAAACAAAAAGGAGACTCAAATAAATGTACATTTCTTAACTTTGGTATTTGGTGGTCCTATTTTTAGCTGTAAGAATTTAATATACGTTCTTCCATGTGTCATGTAAGATGTCTGTTACAACTAACCACATCTCTGCATATATACTACTCATTTATTTAGGTGAATACAGAACCAAAAAGCCAAGGACTAAATTCAAGTGTTCGCCAACCAAACCAGCAGCCCTCAGAATAAGAGCATGTGACAACAAATATATTTGTCCTGAGTCTGGCTAACTTCTGAAGAGAGGAATGCAAGGAATTATTATTTTTTTAATAATACTTGGAGTGTAAATTAAAATTAATTCATTTCTACAAGCAGACTTAAGGAAGTAAACATGGAGTTTTTTAGGTTTGGGTTACTTGCTACATGATGTTGGCAGTTCACTATTTCTCAGAAAATGGGTGTCAGAGTGATTAGAATTCTAATATAAACTTGAAAAGAGTGATTTAAATTCATGGGTTTTTATCCTTCAGGAGCATGCTGTATCTGTAAAACTATTGTTTAGGCTAGATTCAAGGTAATGTGTGTGTGTATATGCATAAATAAATACATTTATATTCTTTCTTTGTAAGTATAGAAAGGTATGGAGAGTTCATGAAGCTTAAAAAAGTCAAGTAGTATCCTGATTGGGCCCTCTCAGGGAATTCTGCAGCACCATCAGGTTCCCAGTCCCAGTTGGGCCAAAACAAGTTTGGAACCCAGCATCTCAAACCAGGTTAAACTTGTGCGTGTGCAAAGGGGAAAATATGGACAGTCACAAAGCAGGGTTGCTTTTCAAATGAGTTGTGCGTTTAGGTATCTACAGTTTACCTATGTTCTGCTTTACTGTGTTGAAGCCCTGCTTAACCTTCTGTGTTTGACTCTTGCAGTGAAGACAAGTTAGGAGAGTTCTCCTGGTCTGCAGCTGAAGAGGCGTTCTTCAAGGACATTGTGGTGCTCAGAAACTGCAATCTCTGTGACAGATTGACGGAAGAGGACTCCGGCATAGCACTCCAACTGTAATGTGGTCTTTGGTAATACATATGTAGTCAAGAGTGGTACTGATCTTTATTACCTGGAGCAGGAGACTGTTCTGCATTCAAATACCTGGTTTTGGCTTCTTGCCCGTGCATTGCTTCAGGCAGCCGGTGCCTAGCCTGCAGTGAGGGTGCCTGGAACACCCTCCCTACTCAGTAAGGTTGGCCCAGCCCTCTGCTCTTCCACAGTATGTCCTCTTAGTATATGGCCAACATGAGTGCCCTGTAATTAGGGAGTAATTCACAAGCTTGTTCTCCCGGGATGCGTGGAGTTCCTGGCTATGCTGAGTCATCCTACAACATTGCGCCCTTGCATTGTACTAACAGGTAGTTTGGAAAGGTGAAAGGGGAGCTGTAGCTCTTCTGTCACCCTTTCCCCCCACTCCGAAACTACTTCGTTCCTTTCAGATTATGCCAATGGTCCTAGCTTCCATCTCTTTAAGAATTTTTCAGCTAAGCCCTAGAATTTCTGCCCTACTTTGCTGTAGGAGAAAGAGCCTGTGTTGCTGGTAAGGAGGTATTTGTGTCCATTGTTGATTATTGCTCTTTTTACTGCCAAAGCAAAGTGGTCTGGATTACCATTTTTTAATTACAATGTGAAAGAGGTATGCTAGTTCAGTGTGAAATGAGACAACAGTGCTGTCTCACATTTACATAATGTGTTTACTATCAGGACTTTAATGTGCCCTGTAAATAATTATTTGAAGTCTAAAATACGATGATGAATATTGTTCTGCCTCCAAAAGGTGTGAGAGTGGCAAAGGATCTCTTGGTGCTCTGAAAATGATCATAGTCTGTCATCTTATGCACGCCCATTTTATTTGTTCAGCTCTTGTGTCAAAGTGTGAGGGAATAATAGCTGATGTGCCAAAGTTCGAAAGATGAAGACACAGATACTAAAGCTGCTGTAGCTCAGCAGCTAAAAATGAAGGGAACTGGTAAACTAAGGAGCACTGCCTGGTTTTTGGACTCTTACGGATGTTGTGTTTTTCATAGAGAGTAGAAAGGCCCCTTTCAGAAATGCCACTCCTTTACTTGTTAAAGAGATCTGTCCCCAGTGTTTACTAAATTCAGTGACACTTTAATCCTTTGTCTGCCTTTGCTTACACCTGGAGGAAAATCCACGTAGTAAGGTTCCACAAGCAGATGTACTTGATGTGCAAGCTGAAATTCTTTTGAGGATAGAATATACTACTCATGATGATAGCTGTGCTTATGTCTTCAGTATCACACCCTTTCCTACCCACCAGTATCTTTACATGTGTCGGTTTTTAAAAATACACAGCATTGCTAGTTTTCTACAATTTTTAGTAGGCAACTACATGCATTTTTACTCTCACTGAAAGAAAATATGTTGTATTTATTATTCTATTTTACTTTGTACAAGGTGAATTGTAGACAAAGATCTATATGCAGTGAATCAAGTAAGTATTGATTCTCTCAGCATTGTTAGTAATAAAAGAAACCTACGGTCATACTAGATGTGTCATTTTGTAAAAAGCATCCTTTTTGGTTTGCATTAGATGGCTAATCACTTTTATGTGCATCTCCTTCAAGAAGAAATGGCTTGCCAGACTTCTAGAGAAAGAATTTTAAATTCTTTTATGAATGTGACAGTTGCATCTATTTGGTCTTACTACTTGTACATCAAATTATACAGAAACTTGGGGGCAGAGTCTTGGCTCCAAACGTTAATGAGTGGCCGTGAGCCTGTGTGAAATGATGCATTATTTACCAGTTAACCTCTGATGCCAGCGGCAGCTACTCACAAGACATGTCTGCGTATTTGCAGCATGGGTACATATTTTTATGACTGGAGTCTGAATGCATCCAATTTTCAAAGTATAATGTAAATTTATTGGAAGTATTGGGATTGTTATTAGGCCTCACTAAAAATTAAAATAGTTTCCTTTGCTGACATTCAGTTTGGACCGTGGCGCCTCATACAGTATAGAAACCATTTG